GGAAGCTTTTCAGTTTGATGTAGTCCCACTGTGTTGCCCTTGGCACTGGAGTCAGATCCAGAAAATATCGCTGAGAGCGATGTCAAGGAGTTTACCGCCCGTGTATTCTTTCAGGAATTTTATGGTTTCCAATCTTATTTTCAAATCCTTAGTCCATTTTTTTTTTTAAGATTTTATTCATTTATGGGGCGCCTGGGTGGCTCAGTTGGTTAAGCAACTGCCTTCGGCTCAGGTCATGATCCTGGAGTCCCGGGATCGAGTCCCGCATCGGACTCCCTGCTCAGCGGGGAGTCTGCTTCTCCCTCTGATCCTCCCCCTCTTATGCTCTCTGTCTCCCATTCTCTCTCAGATAAATAAATAAAAAATCTTTAAAAAAAAAAAAAAAAAGATTTTATTCATTTATTTGAGAGAGAGAAAGTGAGAGAGAACACAAGATGGGGAAGGGTCAGAGGGAGAAGCAGACTCCCTGCTGAGCAGGGAGCCCGACGCGGGACTTGATCCCGGGACTCCAGGATCATAACCTGAGCCGAAGGCAGCCGCTTAACCGACTGAGCCACCCAGGCACCCCCTTAGTCCATTTTTTGAGTTGACTTTTGTGTATGGTGTAATATAGCGGTCCAGTCTCATTCTTTTGCGTGTGGCTGTCCAGTTTTCCCAACACTATTTATTGAAGAGACTGTCCGTTCCCCATTGTATAGTCTTGCCTCCTTTGTCATAAATTAATTAACCATATGTGCATGGGTTTATTTCTGGGCTTTCCATTCTGTTCCATTGATCTATGTGTCCGTTTTTATGCCCATACCACACTGTTTTGATTACTACGGCTCTGAAGTATAGTTTAAAATCAGGGTCCATAATGCCTCCAGTTTTGTCCTTTCTCAGATTGCTTTGGCTATTCAGGGTCTTTTGTGGTGCCATACAAATTTTAAGATGGATTGTCCTATTTCTGTAAAAAATGCCACTAGAATTTTGATAGGGATTATGTTGAATCTATAGATTGCTTTGGGTACAGACCTGACATTTTTCAAAATGCAGTGAAACATAGTTGGGAGTAAATTAAAGTTTCTCCTCAAAGCCAAAGAAGAAAAACTGGAAGAGGAGCAAGCATCTATTTGTGAGCTAAAATTTACACAGAAAGTTGTGTTTCTTTACATGTTGCCCTAATTAGTGTATCATATTTTGTACTTAAATCACAAGTAATTTTCACAGAGAATCAAACAATCCTTAATTATATCTGAAGTCCCCTTTCAAGGCCTTCACCAGCCCTGACCTCCAAAGGGAAGGAACAGGCCACATATGATTTCATTCATAGAACTAAGAAAAGGAGTTAAAAACCAAATGTCCGGGGCACCTGGCTTGGCTGTCAGGAGAGCCGGTGACTCTTGTTCTCAGGGCTGTGAGTTAAAACCCCACCCTGAGCATGGAGCCTATTTTAAAAAAAAAAAAAAAAAGCCCAACATTCCAGCAGTATTACTTGCTTACCCAGTGGTTTCTGGAAAGACCGTCTTCAGGCAAGTGCACTGCAGAAAGAAACACAAAAGCTCGGATGTCAATAGGTATTTGTCAAGAAAGTGTTCAGTCAACAGGGGGTGGGCAAGACAACCGTTCCTGGTGGCCTTTTCCTTCTATAACAGACCAGGGCAGGCCTACCTCGGTGGCCCGTGTGAATTTCCGCTGCCTTCCTCCCCCTCCAAACCCACAGTGCAACGCATACACAGGTTGCAAACTCCTCTGTATGTCCAAGTGTCCAGCTTTCTCTCTATTAAGCTCACTGCATCGGTAGCGAGCGGCACTAACTAACATTGTTTTGTAGGCATTCGGGGCTCCTGACCTCAGGGTGCAAATATGCAGGAAGGAGAGGCAAATCAGTGCCTCCAGCCGGTGGTCCTGGCGTTCGGTTTGGAGTGGGACCTTCCCACAGTCCCTGGCTCCCAGGTGACTGCGTTTCTCAGCTTCACACAGCCCCATGGCTCCCTCTCTCATTTATCATTCTTCCACTCCCATGCCAGCTTCTGATGAGAGGCTAGAAAACAGGCCCTGGGGGGGAGCTAATTACTTAAGTGGGGGACAGAGAGGACACACGATGGCTTGGTAACGGTCTCTGAGCATTGTGAGGGTTATTACCACAGGCCGTGGTGACCAGCAGTGTCTCAGGTCGGGTTCCCTGGAGGCACATCTCCAGACACAGATTCTCGTGCAAGTGAATTATTGAGGGAGGGCTCTCGGGAGAAAAAGGTAGAGGCAGGAGGGAAGCCGTGGAGGGCAGGAGAAGAAGTGAGGCGAAGATGGAGATTTAGCCTCAGCCTGACTTCACCCTGGCTGAAGGGGGTGGGGATTACAGAGTCATTCTTCCCCATACATGACACAGGGGGCCAGGCCTTTATATCCCCCATGTCCGTTAGTCACTGACTGCGGGCCACCCCCACTGGGGGCACGGGGGCACATAAGCCCCAAGTCCTCAGCTCTGGGCAAGGCTGTCCTGCAGGCAGAGACCAGTTCTCAAGAGAACACTGAAATGGCGAGCCCCTCAGCTGGGCATGAGCAGCACGGTCAGCGCGGGGAATCTAGCTGGACACCACATCATCCACAAACGACAGCGAGAGAGAAGTAGGACAGACGCCCGGAAAAGCCTCTTGAGGAGGCTGGACGCCCTGGGGCTCCTTGCAGCCACGCGGCACTAGAACCAACGGACAGAGAATGGCCTTCACCCAGCTGGATCTTTCTAGGACTAGACCCCAAAGGGTCTTTCTAGACCCAGAGCGGGATGCTAAGGCAGGTGCCTTCACGTAAGACTTTTTTGTTTTTAATACTTTTTTTTTCAAAGATTTTATTCATTCATTCGAGAGAGAGCACGAGCAGGGGGAAGGGGCAGCGGGAGAGGGAGAAGCAGACTCCCGCATTTTATAGATAAGGAGACTGTGGCCAAGGGGCGCCTGGGTGGCTCAGTTGGTTAGGCGACTGCCTTCGGCTCAGGTCATGATCCTGGAGTCCCGGGATCGAGTCCCGCGTCGGGCTCCCTGCTGAGCGGGGAGTCTGCTTCTCCCTCTGACCCTCCTCCCTCTCATGCTCTCTGTCTCTCATTCTCTCTCTCTCAAATAAATAAATAAAATCTAAAAAAAAACCCAAAAAAACAAAAAAACCCAAAAGGAGACTGTGGCCAAGAGAGGCTAATTTGCCCAACTGAACAGTTGGAAGTAGTAGAGGCAGGATTTGAACCTCGGTGGTGTAGCCCTCATCCTGACTCATGAGGGCTACACCACCGCTCTGCTGCCCCTGGTTGTCCCTCTAGCTGGGGTAGACGGGTGCTACACAGCAGGAGACCAAGCTGGGTGCTATCAGATGAGCGTGTTTATAAACCTCAGCATACATCAGAAGCAGCCGTGGTTGATCGCTACACCAGAGTCTACGACCTCATCCCGAATCGGGACCCGGGACTGAGAGACAGGTGACAATCTATACATGTCGCAAGCTCCCCAGGTGTTCTGACGTTGGCAGTCCAGAGGCAACTCTGAAACCTCACAATCATTCAGATGAAAGAGCAGGGCCAGGTTCAAGTCCTAGCTCTTGCACTTTCAACCTGGGTGACCGTGGAAAAGTTAATTAACCTCTCTTAGCCTCAATTTTTCTCAAATCTAAAATAAAAATAATAATGTTCCTCTTAAGATGTGAAGTTTAAACTCTGAGCTACTGCACATATAGTGTAATTATATATATATATTTATATCTTACATATACAGCGCATATTAGATTATATATGTTACACAAAGGTCAGGCAGGCCAAACTATTGAGGGTGGTTATCTGTAGGGAGGGAAGTAAGGGGGTGGGGTAAAGCGGGTAGAGAATGGACTTGAAGAGGCTTTCACTTTTTCCTCTATGTATTACATTTTATTTTTTATTTTTATTTTTATTTTTTTTTTGAGAGAGAGACCACGAGCGGGAGGCGAGGGCGGGAGAGAGTCTCAAGCAGGCTCCGTGCCCAGTGTGGAGGCCAACTCCGGGCTCTGTCTCACGACCTTGAGATCACCACCTGAGCCGAAATCAAGAGTTGGGCACTTAACTGACTAAGCCACCCATTTGCCCCACATTTTAAGTTTTTACAGAGAGAAGGTATCAAAGTACTGCAGATAGAAAATGTATTTCTTCCAAACCAAACAGGCCTAATAGTATCACCTAGATAAGGTGCCTGGCACACAGTAGGTGCTCAATTAATGGGAGCTATTAGCATCATTGTCCTCATCCACAAACATTTGTTGAGTGTCTATTATGTGCGAGCCATCATATTCAGGCTCCATAGGGAGGCAGAGAAGTACAAAACAAAGTCCCTGCTCTCACATGCACAAAAAACCCCCAAACGCCCAATGGCAGTGTTTACTTTGGGTCCAGTGAGTGCTATAGAAAATAAAGCCTTTAAGAAGTTGAAATGAGAGAGAGATCATTTCCAGCTGGCCTCTTCAGGGGAGGTGGGGCTTGTGCGAGGCATTGAGGAAAAGGGAAGATTTCAATAGGCAGAGAAAGGGGGAAAGAACATTCCAAAGGCAGAAAAGAGCGTGGTTCAAAGGGCAAAGGGACGCAGTGGGCATGCGCAGAAGAGGTCGAGGGGACATTTGGCTTGGCTCCCCCGGGGTCTGCAGGAGACAACCAGGCCGGATCCGACGCCGGCAAGAGCGGGCCTCGCCTCCCTCAACTGCAATAACACAATCTCGAGCCCCAACCCTTCCGGTACCTGGAAGGGGGCCAAGAGCGACTTTCTTTACAATTCTTGACCCTGGCGGGCTGAGCCTAGACTGGGAAGCAAAGTGGCCACGGCGATTAAAAAAAAAAAAAGCCGGGGGAGGGGATCCTTTCCCTTAACCGCCGGGGCCCAGGTGTCCGCAGGGCCGACGCAGCGAGCGGTGGGTGCAGAACGGGGGGCCCGCCGGAACGTGCCGTACGTGCATGCGCCCGCTGCTACGTGGGGCGTGCGGGGGCCGACGCGTGAGCGCGCACGTCGTAATGACAAGTGGTATTTCCTGTGATTGTGTGCTGTGATATGCGGGGTTGAGTTATGAGGCCAGTGTGTGCTAACCACATTCCTGAAGGCTAATCTCGGTGAGCCACCAAGAAGGGGGCAGAGGGAAACGAGCGGCCGGCGACGGATCTACCCGCAGATCGCGGCCGCCGTGGGCCGCGCCGGGGCCTCGGGGGGAGGGGGGCGGCCTGGGGAGGTCGCGTGGCGCTGTTCGCACAGGGCGCCCAAGTGATCGGGAATAAAACCGGGGTTGGGGGGGGGGTTGCATCTAGATTCCAGGCAGCGCCAGGGTGGCCTCTTCATCCGCAAAGTGCCACACCGTGGCACCCCGACACCGTCCTCGATCTGCTGCCTGTGTGTATCTAGCCACGGCGTGTACGGAGAGACTAGGGATAAACACTTTTTTTAAAAAAGTTCAAGCTTGGGCGCCTGGGTGGCTCAGTCGGTTAAGTGACTGCCTTCAGCTCAGGTCATGATCCTGGAGTCCTGGAGTCCCGGGATCGAGTCCCGCATCGGGCTCCCTGCTCGGCAGGGAGTCTGCTTCTCCCTCTGACCCTCCCCCCTCTCATGTGCTCTCTCTCATTCTCTCTCTCTCAAATAAATAAATAAATAAATAATCTTTAAAAAAAAAAAAGTTCAAGCTTGATTAGCTGAACACCACAAGGCCCTGGGAAATTGAATTTAAGAAAAATTTGGATAATTGGAACAGCATATAATATCGAGAATGTTAAATACACAAGTCGGCTGAGCACACAGAGTTTATGGCAAGCTCTGATTAAAATGAAGTTTCTGATAATCAAAGTTTTAATGGCAGAGGCTCATTTGAATTTCTTCTGTCTAGAAGGGAGATTAGATATCGTGTGCGCAGAATATCTTGTGATAGTTTCCAGTCTTCCCGATTCCAGTTGGGTCACATACATGCTTTGTATGTATGTATTTATTTCGTGAAAAGTACTCTATCCTCTGGTCGGCCCCCAACTAGCCCAAACAGGACTTGCCACAGATGTGTTTATCAGATTGCTCTGCAAATGCACGGAGAGGAAAAGTCTGCCTATCGTCTAAGTGATTTCAAAATCAAAGCCATCCCAGGCACACCAGAAGCCTAAAGCAGCCGAGAGATAGGCCGAGTTTATAAACTTCCATAATATGTTTATTGCAAGGATGGCAATTACCCAATATCCCTGCCCTCCTGGGTCTTAGATCAGAATATTTCCACAAAAAGAAATCTGTGTTCGACTGCATTTAGCCGGTCATAATTCCAGATGTCTGGAATATTCCAACACCAGGCGTGGGGCTGGGGAGGAAGAAAGGAAGGAAGCCGCTGATCACTGTTATAGCCTCGTTGTCGTCTGTGCTGGCTGCTGGTCCCTCCTCCTCCTCTCCCTAATGGCCAGGTGTCACAGGAGTATCGTTGTATTTGGGGGGGTGGGGATGGGGATGGCCGTCCCGAGCCACCAGCAGGCTTTTCTGTCCGGCTCTGGAAACCCGACACGTCACATCAGAGACGTAATGTCTTAATGAAATGACGGGAGTGTGCGTAATTTTCGCGCGAACGGAAAATGCTGACGTGGCAGAAAGGGCGCTTGTTCCTGCGGTTGCAGGAACACATGTGGGCCACATCGCTCGGGAATGAATCAGAGCGACAGTACAGGGCAGCCTGCTAAGAGAATTACCTCCTCGCGGGCTCCTATGAAGTGTTAAGGTTATTTACGGCGTGCGCACACGCCAGCCCATTCTGCCCTGCTCGTTGGAACACAAACTTGGGTGAGTTCAATCATTTGTCCCAGACTCCTTCCTGAGCCTCAATAAGAGAGGCAGGGTGGTTCTGCAGAATCGTCAGTAGGATTGAGTCTGCCCTTTCCTCTGGGGCTCTTCTGGCAAACATTAAACATCACAACACCCCATCAAGGGAAGGTGAGGTGCTCATTTCACAGGTGCCAAGACTGATACGAAGGTTTTGCCTCCATGACACCTTATGGCCAACGGTATAGATTTTTTTACCCCCAGCAAACAGTTGTGGTGGCTTGGGTATGGCGTGGCTGAAGAGGTCAGAGTTTCTTCTGATCGCAATGGGGCTGGGGGTGGGGTCTTGAAGTCTGAAGCCTTTTTTTTTTTAAGATTTTATTTATTTATTTGACAGAGAAAGACACAGCGAGAGAGGGAAGACAAGCAGGGGGGAGTGGGAGAGGGAGAAGCAGGCTCCCCGCCGAGCAGGGAGCCCGATGCGGGACTCGATCCAGGGACTCCAGGATCATGACCTGAGCCGAAGGCAGTCGCCTAACCAACTGAGCCACCCAGGCGCCCCGAAGTCTGAAGCCTTTGTCCTCTGCTCACCACTCAGCCAAGAGGCGTCATTCAAGGCCAGGAGCAAGAAGACTTTTTCTCTATGCCGGGAAGTCCCCAAAGTAGGGTAACGCACACCCTAAGACAAGACAATCCTTTGAGGGGCAAGGGTAATGGGTTGAATTGTGTGTCCCACCAAAATTCATATGTTGAAGTCCTAAGCCCCAGTACCTCTGAATATGACCTTATTTGGAGATAGGATATTTATAGAGGTAATGGAGTTAAAATGAGGTCATTAGGGTGGGCATAAAAAATATGACTAGCGTCCTTATAAAAAGGGGAAATTTGGACACAGACCTACACAGAGGGAAGACAATGTGAAGAGACACGGGAAAAAGACGAGCCAAGGAGAGACGCCTGGAACAGAGGCACCCCTCACGGCCCTCAGAAGGAACCAACCCTGCCAGCACCTTGATCTTGGACTTCTGGCCTCCAGAACCCTGAGACAGCACATTCCTGTTGTTTAAGCCCCTCAGCGTGTGGTTCTTTGTTATGACAGCCCTACCAAACTAATATAGGTAGGAAGAAAATATCAGAACTTTAGAACTTTCCTTTCTATCACTATGGTAGTTTGGCTTTTTTTTTTCCTTTTGGTAGTTTGGCTTATTTTTTTTTTAAGGTTTGTGTATTTATTTGAGAGAGAGAGTGGAGGAAGGGGCAGAGGGAGGGGGAGAGAAGCAGCCTCCCCACTGAGCACAGAGCCTGACACAGGGCTCGACTGCAGGACCCAGATTATCATGACCTGAGCCAAAGTCAAGAGTCGGATGCTTAACCGACTGAGCTCCCCAGGGGCTCCCAGTAGTTTGGCTTATTGATCCTAATTCATCCCTCACCTGGAGTAGAAGCAGCACTGATTACCACGTGACTTTGCAGTGCCTCCCACTGTGGGTGAAATATACTCCCCCCACCCCTGGGAAGTTGGGCTTGAGCAAGATAATTACCAGACGTGGCACGTGAGCCGACACTTTAAATGTGTTGCATGGTATGGTTTGCCCTCTTGAGCTTCTGCCATCACTAGGACAAGAACAGGTCCCAGGTGGCTGTAGTCACATCAGCCAGGGCTCCAGACCTGCACAAAATCTGTGACCTGGAGCTCTTTCCATCTCCAACTGTCATAGCGAGAGGAGCTGCTGCCATGTCCGTCCACCTGCAATGGATGGTCAGGCAGAACTGCTCCAGCTTCCTGATGGAGAGGAACAGGCAGACATACAACACCGACCCCAATAATCTGAAGGCAAACAAGTCCTTCCACTACAACGGGCTGATGCACCACTGGACTCTGGGCATGGAGCCAGGACCTGACAGCAAAGGTATAGTGGTGGTCATGAAGCAGAGATCCCGCCAGTGAAAACCCATCACCTCCTACTTGCAGACCACCGTGAACCAGAATGCCCGGGCCACCCTCGGCAGCATCAGGCACATGATCTGCAAGAACAAGTACCGCCCAGATCTGTGCGTGGCTGCCATTTGCACAACCAGAGCCATCCTGCACAGTCAGAAGCCCGTGATGGTGAAGAGGAAGCGGACTGCCCCACCAAGAGCTCCTGAGCACCAGCCCCCCACCTCCAAAGCAATAAAGATGTCAACCGCCTCAAACAAACAAACAAACCCCCCCCCCCCAAAAAAAACCCTGTGACCTGGAACCACTCCCGGCCAACCCGCAGCCTGAAATAGCCAAGCCCAGCCAAGATCAATCAACCCCCCACAACCCTGCAGGACCATGAGCAAGAAAAATAAATGCCTGTTATTGTAAGCCACTGAGTTTCGGAGTGTTTGTTCCACAGCATTATTGCGGCAAGAGCTGACGATTACAATGACCAATATGCAACATGCAGATTGACCCTGGGGCCTTGTTTGGGCTGTTTGTCACCACTCAGCATCCAGCGTGACAGGTGAAGAATGCTGAGGGAGAGTGGCAGTCCCATAACTTGGACAGCATCTGCCTCAAATGGTTTTTCACCTTCAGCAAATGGCCTATTATGAGTGCCATGTTGAGTGAATTTACAGATCGCATTATGTCGCTCTAACCAAACTAATCATCACCAAATGGGCAAGGGGCTTGAAACGGTTCCTCTAAGGAAACCGTGGCTTGAAGATAGTCCTGTAAAAGGAAGCATAAGCTACGAAGAAACTGGCAGAGCTCACAGTTCTCCTACTTTGAGAGCTAGTTCATTTTAAAATTTTCACACGGAGACTATTTGAAATATGGCTTTTTGACTTCTATTGTTAATAATGGACCTCACACATAGGCATATGGCCTTATGATCTTAGCAAAAAGCATTAGCACATGAATGTAAGTTATAAGTAAATAAACATATAGTGGGGAAGGGTGCTAAAAATGTTTCACTGTTGGGGTTGAGACCATTTGAAAGTCACTTGAAAGTCAGCTCACAAAAAAGAAAAGAAAAGAAGGAAAGGAAAGGAAAGAAAAGGGGCGTCTGGCTGGCTCAGTCAGGAAAGCGTGCAACTCTTGATCTCAGGGTCGTGAGTTTGAGTCCCACACTGGGTGTAAGAGATCACTTAAAAATACAATCTTTTAAAAAGAAAACAAGAGGTCAGCTCACCATGTCGAACTGATTTATTAACTTGTTGAGTGAGTTCATTTGTGTTCAACGTTGTAGAATTATGATGGTGCTATCGTTGAACACGGGGAAGGCCTGTCCCCCCGAAGCACAGAGCGTAGACCCATGGGCTCTCCAGTGTTGTGTTGCGCTCACACTGTTTCTGAAGCCTGGGGGAGAGATGATGTCATGGAGAAAGGGATGACACACCTTGGTGTCAGGCCTAATGAGCCCCATCCAGAGCCAGGAGGGGAAGTGCTCTGCAGTAGCAGGGAGCCTGGGGCCCGGGGCCCTCACGGAGGGATCAAAGGCCCTGCTCCCGGCCCACAGGCTCCTCCTAGCTTTGCAGAGGCCTGAAAGGGACATCTCTGTTGGCCTGCCCCAACTGTGACACCGCCATTCAAGCCCCACTCTAAACCAGAAACTCTGCTCTGAACCCACTGGGTTCTTCTCCCCCCACTGTGCAAACCTTGTTCTGGGTGTAGTCACTGAGCGGGGGTGTGGAGTAAGGGCTTCGTAATGGAGCAGGACCTCCCGACCGTGGTGGAGTCTGGGAAAGGAAGGGTCTGAAGGGGAAGTTGGAGGGTTGGAGGAGAGTCGCTAGGCTGCCAGAGCGCGGCCGTGAAGGAGAGCTTGAGGAGAAGCCCATGGAAGATGTGTCTGTACGTTGGGTGGTGGGCCTGGCATGGCACGGGGGTGGCTCAGCAGGGTCAGCAGTCAAGAAGCAGAATTGCGTGCACGGCAGGAGAGAATAAGGGCAAGCTGGCACCTTCTGGCACCTTCTGTCCTTCACTGCATCTAACCGCGATGACCAGAGAGGAGGAGTAGCTGCTTCTCCTCCATCTTCCATATGCGGTGCAAATTTCTCTTCTCACCAGCTCTCATCCGGAACCGCAAGAGGAAGGGAATTGGGGGGAAACATCGCTCCAGCCCGGCCAAGGTGACACAATACGAAGCCACCACCGGGGGCCAGATTTGAATGGATTGCCAGAGGGTCTGCAGTTGCTCTTTGGCCCAGCTAGTGTCAAAGTGAGGAACATGCCGCTGGTCCTCAAACATTTCTGGACCCCAGGACGGTCCGCTGGGCCCGGTTCATGAAAAGGAAAGGCCTTCACCAGATAGCGTCTCCCAAGCGCCACCTGTAGGTCAACCTCCACGCTGTCCTTTTAACCCATTTATCATTTGAGAAGGATAATTTCAGGCTCGGAGACTCAGAGAGAGAGAGAAACGGCTAAGGGCCTGTAGCAGATTGTATTTTCCAACGACGGCCCCTGCTGAGGACTGAGTAGTTTCCCCCACCGACCCTGAAATTCATAGGTTGAAGCCCTAATCTACAGTGTGGCTGTATTCAGAGATAGGGCCTATAAGGAGGTAATTAAGGTTAAATGAGATCATGGGGTGGGGCCCTAATCCATTAAGACTCGTATCCATATAAAAAGAGAAAGCCGCTCCGGGGATCTGCCCACAGAGAGGATCATGCAAGGAGATGGGGGGGGTGGGGGTAGGGGCAAGGAGAGAGAAGCCTCAGGAGAAACCAACCCTGCTGACACCTGGATCTGAAATTTTAGCCTCCAGACCCGTGAAAAAATAAATTTCTGTTGCTTAAGCCGCCCCCCACCACGTGGGATTTTGTTATGGCGGCCCCAGCAGATGAATATAGCCACCACAGTATCTCCCATTCCACAGGGTCTTCTTCAAGGTGATAATGACATTCCAGTGATGAGGACGCTTCCGGTGATGGAGTCTACGCCCCCTTCCCTTGAACCCGGCCAGGCCCTCATGACTGCCTCACCCAACCGAAGACGACGGAAGCGAAGCTAGGGGACATCTGAGGCTCAGTCCTCAAACTGCTATGTGTCCTCAGGCCACTTCGAACCTAGCTTCCAGGAAGCCAGGAAGCCACGTGGCGAGGCCACAATGGACAACCCCAGCCAGCCAGCACCAGCACTAGATGTGTGAGCGAGAGCCTTCAGATGACCCCAGGCCCCAGCAGTCAAGCCACCCCAGGGACACCGTGCGGAGCAGAGACAAGCTGTCCCCACTGGCCTTGCCCAGACTGCAGATTTGAAAGCAAAATAAACAATTTGTTGTTTTGAGCCACTAATTTTGGAGGTGGCTTATTATGCACATAACCAGAATAAAGGTCTTCAGAACAAATGCATCCAGGACGCCACCTGGGAGAAAATGAAGCCAAGTCTGTGTAGAGGCTTTACTTGCGTTGGGGGGCATGGCAATGATTTCAGACAGTCAAACCGATACAGACCTCTAGCATCAATGTGACGAAACAGGCGGCCAGATGAGTGTTTCTCCAAAGATCACCCCCACGTCTACGATTCCTATTCATTTTCTGATGGCTCTGAAAGCTTCCCAAGGAGATTTTATTATTATTATTAATGTTGATCATGCTCCAAACAGAGTTTAAAGAGGACATATGTGCAGAAAGAAAATGGTGGAATCGGGAGGTTGAGCTGGAGGCTAGAATAATTAAAGGTTAAACTCCAGGTTCGCATTTGGTATTTATAGAATTTTCCATGCTTGGTGTGAGGGTTTTAAAATCAGGCTGAGCAGGGAAGCTCCTTTCAGCCCTTACAGGAGGGAAAGGATTTTAACACAAGGAATCCAGCCTGTCTAGTTCAAAGTTTTCAAAGGCAGCGTAATTAAGCGGCTTTGTTGCTTCAGGTGATGCTGTAAAGGTGAACAGGGCTGGGAGAGGAGGCTCTGCGAACAAAACAAAGCCAAAGAAAACACTTACTTTCCGTACCAGGCACCCAGGGCTGTCAACAGCAGGTCCCTGGGTCATGGAAAGCTGTTTTCTCCTCTGTTGCTCCCCCCTCGGGCGTGGAAGGAGCACGAGTGCTGCTTACGGCATTTGACAGGGGCCAAGGTGGCGTTCCGGTACATTGTGAGGGTCACCAAAGGATGCGCACGAAGGATGAAGGATGCAGGATGCAGGTGAAGGTGGGGGTAGCGAGGACCAGGCACACGGCCGGCACCCGCTCGGCTCGCAGCTGCGCACTGAGGCTGAAAGCAAACGCACCGGAATGCTGGTCTGCTTTGCTTCTCGCCTCTTTCCACCCCCGCCCCCCACCATCTTCAGTATAGAACCTCAGAGAGACTCCTCTCCGTGTCTTTCAGCTTGTTGTTGTCTGTTTTCAGGAATTGGATGTCTCCTTTTGTTTCCTGAAGCTTTGATGGGGGGAGGGGAAAGGGGAGGGGGCGGTGAGAGGCGAAGGGGATACCGGCTCCAGGCTCAGACTGATCTCCCAGGGAGCATTTTCCAAATGCGTCCCGCTCCAAGCCTTCCAAAGACATGGATGGGGAGGCTTGTAAAAACTTGTCTAAGCTGGCACTGCATCTCTGCGTGAAAATGGAGTTACTTAGATGGACTATATGCAGCTATTGAGAAGGAAGATTGTAAAGACCATGTGGCAACATGGAGAAAGGCAGGCGTGATACATTGTTAAACGAAATATCAGAACTCCAAACTGAGCCGGGTACCGTTGTAACTATGTTAAAAGTGGATTAAGAGCAATCGTTCGAACAGATACAGCACCCCCATGTTCATTACAGCTCTATTCACAATAGCCAGAAGGTGGAAAGGACCCAAGTGTCCACAGAAAGATGAATGAATAAACAAACTGTGGATACAGTATCATTTGGTCTTGAAAAGGAGTGAAATTCTGTCATGCTACATGGCTGAACCTTGAGGATATTATGCAAATAATATGAAATAAGCCAGTTGCAAAAGGACAAATATTGTATAATTCCATTTATATGAAGTTCCTAGAGTAGTCAGGTTCACAGAGACAAAGTAGAATGGTGGTGGCTGGTGGCAGGGGGGATGGGGACTTAGTGTTTAATGGACACAGTTTCTGTTTGGGAAGATGCAAACGTTTTGGAGGTGGATGGTGGTGATGATGGCACGACAATGTGAATGTGCTTAATGCCACTGAGCTGTATACCTAAAAATGGTTAAAATGATAAATTTTATGTTATGTGTATTTTACAATGAAAAAAAGTCAATTTTTTTTTTAAGATTTTATTTGAGAGAGACAGAGATAGCCAGAAGGGAAGGTCAGAGGGAGAAGCTGGCTTCCCGCAGAGCAGGGAGCCCGACACGGGGCTCGATTCCAGGACCCCGGGATCATGACCCGAGCTGAAGGCAGACGCTTAACGACT